GTGGCACATTTTAAATTCAAACTATGTTATAAACTCACACAACAAAAGGTTTTTGTAAAAGAAAGGAAACTACCAGTTACTTTCATTGAGTGGCTCCAGTCTGGTATTTTGAAGCAAGAAAACAAGTAATCCTAAAATCCACTTTCCCATACCTTGTATAACAGAAAAATATAGCATGTTTGTCCATAAGGAAAATCATGGGGCATGCCTTTTATTAGAACCAGCCAAAATGCAAGCCTTTCAGTACTCTTAATCATTTGAGAGAGGACAGGAGAAAACACCCACAAAAGTCCCAAATAAGAACACTGAGGACCTGTAGTTAAAATAATACTCTGATGTGCTCAATGTGAAGGTATCTGCTCTATGCAATATTAGGAACCTCTGCATTGCACCCAGACAAGAGGTAGATCTTTGCGTTGCACCCATGAATCTATTTTCAGACAGGAATCACTACCACGGGCTTCTTGTTCCCTTATGTACTGTGAGGTATAGCCCATCCAGTCTGCAACTTTTTCTTGAGGCATACAACCTCATCACATGAAGTGAAATCAGTCCTAGCATGCTGCCAGGATGCTTCCTTATTGGAGCCCCCCGGACACCATCACAACTTCCAGTGGGACACTTCCTTCAGAACATGGGAGGCTTCCCATGTTCCATAGAGAACAACAGGGCCAGCATGAAGGGAAGCCACACAGCGATGCTTCCCCACTGCAGGTGGGGTGAGGCATAGGGATTGCCTCGCCAATTTGCCATAGATTCTGGTGAATCGCCCTGCAGGACCTCATTAATGTGATGAGGTCCTTTGTTTAACCACAAGCCATAGTATTGGCTTTTGAACTGTTCTGTTTTTTCCACCATCACTTAATTTTTGTATTACCCAGTCAGATGAAGAGTGCTTAAATGCATAGTTCAGTGACATCTGGGGCTGTTATTTTGAGCCATCAAATTGTTGGTGTCTTACTGTGACCCTAGAGCAAACCCTTTCAATTTGATTTTCTTGGAATGACTTGTTCGGAGTGGCTTTGCCATTGTCTTCCTCTGAGGCTTGCAATTGCCCAAGGTCACCCAGTGGGTTTCCATGGTCAAATGGGGATTCGAACCCTGACCTTGTGGAATATGAGTCCAACATGTAAATCACCATGCCAACTCTCAATGCCATTTTAGTTGGTCTTAATAAAAGTATTGGTAAGCTGTAGGTTTTAAAACTTTTCTAGATGGGTTTAGAAAGTTGTAATACCACTGGCTTATGGGCTGAGTTAAGAAAAGGAGGCATCTCACCCCACAATGACACCAGCTGTAGCCTGTTAAAACCTTTAGTAACAACTTGTCTCTATTTATTTTAGTTGTTTGAAGATGTTCGCTGTATGGTTTTGCCTCTAAACCTTCTTCATAAATCCTAATGGAAACATATTTATGAAATTGTTATAAATATAATTACCACAAAAAAGTAGATAGCGTGGGTGATGCATTAATCAAAGAAAGTAAAACTTACAAACACATGCTTTGCATGTTTATTTCCGAATTAAATCCCACTGAGTTCAGTTTAGCAATGGGTGCTTGCTCCCATGTCAGTGATGTGGTGATTCCACTTTGGGTTTTACTCTTGATGTAAAAGGGAGGTCCAAGGTGCTTAACCTTAACCCCCAAATCGGTGCAGTACCTTGGAAAGCTATTTTAAAATTCAGGGTAAAACCCAAAGTGGCATCACCATGTCACTGGCATGGGAGCAAGCAACTGTCTTTTGATTTATATTCTTGTTGCTCTTGTGTGCCTCCAACTTATGGAGGCCCTGTGGCAAACCTATCATAAGTTTTCTTGCCCAGATTTGTTCAGAATAGGTTTTCCCTTTGCCTGCCTCTGAGGCTGAAAGTGTATCATGTGCTCTGAAGTTGCCCAGTGGATTTTTATGGGAAAATTTGGGATTCGAGACCTAGTCCAACATTCAGACCATTAAGGAGCTGTGGTGGCACAATCAATTAAACCATTATGGCAGTTGAACTGCCGACCTGGAGGTTGGCAGTTCAAATCCATGAGATGGGGTGAGCTCCCATCTGTCAGCTCCAGCTATGTGGCATCATGACAGAAGCCTCCCACAGGATGGTAACACATTCGGGTATTCCCTGAGCAACGTCTCTGCAGACAGCCAATTTTCTCACACCAGAAGTTGCTCCTGACACAATAAAAAAAATTCAGACCACTGTACCATACTGGCTCTCTTAGATCTATGTTAACCCATATAAGTTTCCATGCAATTAAAACTTCAAGAGCAATGAAAACAAAATCTTGAAAGGGCTGCATATGTTCCACAATACAGATAGAAAAAAGTGTTGACAAAAAAATCAGTTGTTGGAAATATCATGCATTTATTTCTGTTCTTGCTATATCGGGTGTTGGCTTTCATGGGCGTCTTAATGTCTGTGCAAAAGAATTCCAAATTTTTCATTGTAAAAGCATGAAGGGAGGTGGATATATTTATTATCAATAGTTTTGTGCATTTCTTGTGTTTCTTTTATGTCAACCCTATGGATGAGAGACCTCCAAGCATCTCTATTCAGGTCTTGCAAATCAGGGCAGCCATGGTTTCTTTGACTGAGCCAATCCAAGTGTAGTGTGGTTTTCCTACTTCATCTCACTTTCCCCGGCATATTATATGTTTTCTAACATTTCATACCTATGAGGAGGCAGACTGCTATTAATGGAAGCTTCTATCATAGTAAATGTTTTAGTTTTTAAGGCAGTGGTGGGCCTGAGATATTTATTTATGACATTTCAACCCCGCCTTTCTCACCCTGGAGAGGACTCAAGGCAGCTTTACATACAGGCAACAATTTGATGCCCTAAAACACAATGTACATTTAAATAAATATTAAAATAGAATTTAAAAATACATTAAAACAATTAAAACATTTAAAAACTATATATTAAGGGTTAAACACATAATCCACTAGCACAAGCCAGGCCATTCTAAAGGTCATTGCACATGAACCCAAGTCCATCTATTGCACAAGTTCTTTAAAGGCTTGGTCACAAAGCCACATTTTCACTCTCTTGTGGAAGGTCAGAAGGGAGGGGGCTGATCTAACATTGCTGGGGAGGGAGTTCCATAGTCAAGGGGCCACCACTGAGAAGGCCCTGTCTCTCATCTTGGTCAATCATGCCTGCGAGGAAGGAGGGATCGAGAGCAGGGGCTCCCCAGATGATCTTAAACTCCGCAGTGGTTCATAGAGGGAAATACGTTTGGACAGATAAGCTGGGTTAGAACTGTTTAGGGCTTTATAGGCTAAAGCTAGCACTTTGAATTGTGCTCGGTAGCAAATTGGCAGCCGGTGAAGCTGACGTAACAGGGGGGTTTTATGCTTCCTGTATGCCGCTCCGGTGAGCAATTGGGCTGCCACCCGTTGGACCATTTGGAGCTTCTGAACCGTCTTTAAAGGCAGCCCCGCATAGAGCGCATTGCAGTAGTCTATTCGAGATGTAACCAGAGTGTAGACTACCGTGGCCAACTGGTGCACAAGTTTTAATTGTTCGAATGATCTCCTGGCCACCGCCGAGATCTGTTGTTCCAAGCTCAGCAATGAGTCCAGAAGAACTACCAAGCTGTGAACCTGTGTCTTCAGGTTGTAACCCTATATGCTGTTCGGCTGTTTGTTGTTGTACTGCAACTTCTGGAAGCCCCTAGGTGCTATAGCCAGTGGGTTTAATGTGGGATCAAGGGAGAGACAGCTCTCAAACTGAAAAGCCCCGGCTTTCCTCAGCTTTTGGCTTTCCATTAAACTCTATCTGGGCAACAGATCACAAAAGACAACTCTCACAAAAGACAACTCTCTTACCCTTCAAGGACATCTTGATATACATATCAACTGCTTACAGAGCAATCCCTGCTGCTACTTCCTTCCCTGCTCCTCTTTATTGCTGCAATAGCCAAAGACCAAAGAAGAAATTGTCAAGCATTGCTCAAAATCAGGAGAAGCCTGCTTCTGTTCTTGGGAAACTCCAGGAGCCATAAGGATGACCAAAAAATGAGAGTTATTGGGGTGTGGCTGGAAGCCTGCTTTCTAGCTTTGAAAAACAAGTATTGAATGAAAAACATATTGAATGAGGGTGGGTGGGTCAGTGGGGGTTCAACCTGTTTCAAAGGCGAGCTGCTGCTCCTGGAGATTTCTCTGGGAGGCTATTCTATTTCTTGTTCTGAACTGCTGTCAAGTGAACTTCGACTTATGGCAAGCCTATTCATGAGTGACCTCTGTGTTCCCATGCCATCTTTCAGACTCAGGACAGCCATGGCTTGAATCTATTCATCTGAAATGGGGTCTTCCTATGGATTTGCTCACATCTATGGCAGGCATCCTCATAGGTTATGAGGTCTGTTGGAAACTAGGCATGTAGGGTTTATATATCTGTGGAATGTCCAGGGTGGGAGAAAGAACTCTTGTCTGCTTGAGGCAGGCGTGAATGTTGCAATTGGGTTGTTGTAGGTTTTTTTGGCTATATGGCCATGTTCTAGAAGCATTCTCTCCTGACGGAGAGAATTAAGCTGCAATTGGCTAGCTTGATTAGCACTGAATGGTCCTGCAGCTTCAAAGCCTGGCTGATTGCTGCCTGGGGGAATCCTTTGTTGGGARGTGTTAGCTGGCCCTGATTAATTCTTGTCTGGAATCCCCCGGCCATAGATGGGGGCCAAACGTCAGRAGAGAATACTTCTGGAGACATGGCCATACAGCCCGGAAAACTCACAGCAACCCGGCCCTGGAGYAGTGTGCTGGGATCTCTTTCTCAGGAGATATTTTAAAGCAGGGGCTGGATCAAGGCYATTTGTCAGGAGTATCCCARAGGGTTGGACTAGATGGCCTTTAGTGGTCTCTTCCCAGTTTAGGATTCCGTTCATGAGTGGATAGAGGGAGAGAAGGGGGGTCACGTGAAAGCGGGGGGGGGAAGCTTTCGGGGAGGTCACGTGACCTCTCCTCCTCCTCCTCCTCCTCCTCCTCCTTTCCTGCCCCCTCCCCCGTCCATCCCTTCCCCTCCAGCTGCGGAGGCGTCCGAGCAGCTGGGCTGGGAGGGCTTCCAGCGCCTGCCGCAGCGGCTCCAGGAGGGGAAAAGCCAAGGCAAGCGGGCCGCCCTGCATTGAAGGCGAGCTCTGCGCTCTGCCTTGCAAGGAAGGAGACCCGACCATGGCTATGGCTATGGCTATGGCTGCTGCTGGTGCGGCGGCGGCGGCGCCCTCCTTCTCTTCCTGAGGCTCCGGCGGCCACGTCCTTGGAGGCAGCATGTGGCGCGGGTAGGTGCTGCGGGTTAACGGGGAGGGTGGCAGAAAGGGCACCGAAGGGAGCTGCTTCCCGGGGCCTTTTGGCCTGCCTTCTGCTCTGCACCAAGGAGGGGAGGCTTGGAGAAAACCCGGTGCGGAGGTTTTACAGCTTCAAGGGTGCATCTACACTGCGGAATGAATGCAGCTTGACACCACTCTCACTGCTGCCCTTCGCTTTCCCTCCAAACCACAGGATTCCACAGCAGAGCCGTGACAGTTCAAGTGGTGTCCAATCGCATTCCTTCCACAGTGTAGAGCACCCCAAAGGGCAGCAGGGACCACTCTGTCTTCCAAGTCGCATCTCATTTATGGTGACCCTCAAGCACCCCGTCACCTTGGTTCTCATCACACTAGAGAACGAATCCACTTGAAATCCGGTTTCTGCCTCCTGCAGAATTCTGGGCTGTGTAGTTTAGGGAGGAGCCTTTAAAAGCCTCACTAAACTACACACTCCAGATTCCTGCAGGAGGCTGAAAGCAGATTTAAAGTGGATTCATTCTCTAGTGTGATGAAGTAGCTTGACACGATTTCTTCCAGAAGGCGTTTGCAGTTCCCTTCCTTGGGCTGAGAGAGAGTGACTCACACAAGGTCACCCAGTGGGTTTCCATGGCCCAGCAGTGGTTTGAACCCAGGCCTCCAGAGTCAACCTCCCAATGTTCAAGACGTTCTGTCACACTGGAGGTCGGGATTGTGGATGTGGGAGACATTTCCCTACCTTGCTTTGCACCCTCTCTATTCTTTCCCATGCTATTTCTCTTCTCCTCACCAACTTCTATTAGTTCAAGCCTGAACCTGATGGGCAAAGGTCACCCAAGGATGGGTGGGAGGCATCGGACTAGAAGTTGCAGGTGAAGGGTCTACCTTCATTCTACCTGCCAAAATGCTAAAGACCCTCATGCACCCCATCACAAGGTTTCCTGGACACGATTTCTTCCAGAAGGCATTTGCAGTTCCCTTCCTTGGGCTGAGAGAGTGTGCTTCACACAAGATCACCCAGTGGGTTTCTGTGGCCCAGCAGAGATTTTAACCCAGGTCTCTAGAGTCATAACCCCAGCATTCAAGTCTCACACTGTCTCCTGTGTGGGTCGGGGTTGTGGATGTGGGAGACTCCCCCCCCCCATTTGCTTTTCATACCCTCCATTCTTTTCCATACTTCCTCTCCTCCTCAACTTCCACTAGTTCAAGCGTGAACCTGGAAGATCACTCAAGGATGGGAAAAAGGCTTGGGACTAGAAGTTGTGGATGAAGGGTCCTTTTAGTTAGCTGTCTTCTAGCTGCCAGAATGCTAAAGACCCTCAGGCACCCTGTCACAAGGTTTCCTGGCCATGATTTCTTCCAGAAGGCCTTTGCAGTTTGCTTCCTTGGTCTGAGAGAGTGTGATTCACACAAGGTCAACCAGTGGGTTTCTGTAACCCAGCAGAGATTCGAACCCAGGTCTCCAGAGCCATCACCCCAAGGTTCAAGTCTCACACTGGCTCCTCTGTGGGTCGGTCTTGTGGATGTGGTAGAATTTCCCCCCACCTTGCTTTGCACCCTCTCTATTCTTTCCCATGCTACTCCTTTCCTTCTCACCAACTTCCAATAGTTCAAGCCTGAACCTGATGGGCAAAGATCGCCCAAGGATGAGTGGGAGGCAGGGGACTAAAAGTTGTGGATGAAGGATCTTTTTATTTAGCCGTCTTTTAGCTGCCACAATCACATGTCCATAGCAGGAGGAGATCGATAATCTGGTCTCCAGAAGTTTGACCCTCCAGTTGAATTCTGAAGAAAAAGTAAACACACCATTCAGAACTGTTGTTGTGGAGTGCCTTCCTGTCATTGTGATTTAGTAGTAAAGGTAAAGGTTTTCCTCTGACATTAAGTCCAGTCATGACTGACTCTGGGGGTTGGTGCTCGTTTCCGTTTCTAAGCTGAAGAGCCGACGTTGTCAGTAGACACCTCCAAAGTCATGTGGCTGGCATGACTGCATGGAGCGCCATTACCTTCCCACCGGAGCAGTACCTAGTGATCTACTCACATTTGCATGTTTTCAAACTGCTAGATTGGCAGAAGCTGGGGCTAAGAGTGGGAGCTCACCCTGCTTCCCGGATTTAAACCAGCGGCCTTTCGGTCAGCAAGTACAGCAGCTCAGCAGTTTAACCCACTATGCCACCAATGACTGAGAGCATATGACTTGCCGAAGGTCACCCAGTGGGTTGCCATAGCTGAGCTGTAGTCCAACACTCAAACCACTACACCACATTGGCTCTATTCTAAAGAGCCCAGGATAGTATTTTTGTTGTTATTGCTATACTCATTTTACACATGAGAATGTATTTGCCTGATGGGCAGGGAATGAGGGAATGACCTTTCCTAAATTTATCCTTAGCTGACCTGGAGTATGAATGACTTGGAGTATTTCTCTGTGGCCATGGACCGTTGCTGGGTTTAAACTGCAGGAAGCCACAATGAAGTCAAGGAGCAGAAGGGATTTTGTCATAAGAAGACAAGCAGATCTTCCCAGTATGTATACTGGCCTACAACCTACATCCTCTTCAGCCAACTGCCTGTAGGACTGGGAGCTATTTTGCAGGTTTGCAGGCTATGAGAGGTTTTAGTGACTTCCATGGATGCATCTACACCAGACATAGGAATACTTCGGCTCTCCAGGTGTTTTGGACTTCAACTCCCACCATTTCTAGCAGCCTCATGCCCTTTCCTTTTCCCCTCAGCTGCTTAAGCGGAAAGGAAAGGGCCTGAGGCTGTTAGGAATGGTGGGAGTTGAAGTCCAAAACACCCGGAGGGCCGAAGTTTGCCCATGCATGGCTCAGTGTTATGGAATCATGGGAGTTGTATTTTGGTGAGGCACCAATACCCTTGAAGTTGTAATTTGGTGAGGCAGAGAATGCTAAAGACCTGGTAGAACTACAATTCACATGATTCTGTAGCATTGATCCTTGGGCATTAAAGCGGTGCCAGACTGCATTAATTCCGCAGTATAGATGCACCCCATGTGTGAGATACAAAACAGAAAGAACTTCTACCTCAAAGCAAAGAAAAATATTTATCTGTCCAATGACTGGTCATTGTTAGTCTTCTGAGAGGTCTCTTGTACAGTTATAAAGCTTTGTGGTCCAAATGTTGAGTTTCTGGGTATGCTGAGCATAGAGGAATGTATGCTCCAAAAGAGGGGAGAGCTGGGGAAAGAGGAGAAAACAAAAGGTGAGGTGCCAGCTTCAATGATCTTGCAATCCTAATGTTGGTTGAAGCAAGTAAGAGGAAACAGCAGAAAACAAAAAGAGATGAGAGAATACAGATGAATGGGTTTGAAAGTAAAGTGGTGGATTTAAATCCCAAGTAAGTCAATATTTTATTTTAGGGTCAACTCAAAGGTCACAAGGTAGCAGAGAGTGCCAGTTCTGAAGAAGGAATGATTGTAGATTTCAGACTTTTCTATGAAGCTACACAGCAATTTGGTCATCCCTCCCCTTTCTCTTGTGCTTTCCATGTTAGAAAAAGGTGAGCATGAATAACGGAATAGCACAAGCACGAGGTTTACTTGAGTTGTAGATGTTCTACTTCTTTATTATGGGAAAGGTCTCAAAGGCTGGTCAGGAATCTGTTTTGGATTGATGAGAAAGGGAACGTATTAGCCACCTAAGGCTTCCTGGCCCCATCTCCCTTCTTTCCCTAGTCACAATGATGGTTATGGTATCCGGGCGTGCCAGAAAGAGAGGAGCAGGGCACCCCTACTTATTCGTGTCTCTGGCTCACTCCTACTATAGGAGCCCTCCATTTTTGCTAGGATTAGGGGTGCAGGACCCCTGTGAAGATGAATAACCACAAAATTGTTCTCTTTTTTACCCAAGCTAACACCTCTCTAGGAATTTCTAGGTCTTTCAGCATGACAACTTCTGTTGGAAGCTGACCATAGAATTGCACTATTAGATCTAGAGATTCCTAGAGAAGAGTTTCCTAGACATCTCTAGCTTCCTCAGCATCACTGGAAGAAGTTGGTCATGGAGTCGACTTCTTAGAAGACCTAAAGATTTATAGATGGAATTTTAAAATAAAATTTGTGCATAGTCAAATCCACAGAAAAGCAAAATTATGAATGTGAAAGGGTGACTTTATAGGCCATCCCCAAGTTACAAATATCTGACTTACAAATAACTCATAGTTAAGAAAAGGGGTGAGACAACAGGAATCAACCTCTAGGAAGGGGAATTCACTCTTGAAAGAGTTATCATGGGGAAACGTGTCTCCGTTGAAGCTTTCTCACCAATCCTTGTTTCCACAACAAGCCACATTTTTAAAAATCCAATTCTCATGGGGACAGAAAGTGAGGTGAAATATTCTGAACAGGGGCAAAGGCAGCAAAAGAAACACCACAAAGGTGTTAACCCCTATGCTGTTCAAAGCTTAAAAAAATAGCTATATTTGGCTGTAGTTATATTTCAAAAAGTACCTGTTCTGGCTTACATACAAATTCAACTATCCAGTGTGCCAGAACAAATCTACAGAATGTATCTTGTTCATAAGTTGGGACTGTGTGTTCTAGTTTTGGTCTTCTCCCAGCTAATGTGAGGCTCTCAGCAGGATTCCTCTGAGTGACTATGTCCTTCAGCCCCTCTCCCAAGTAAATTAACTCATAATTAGACAATAATTGACTCTCTGAAAAAGCTGCTTGTGAAAGCTGGTTAGTTACAGCTCCGAGGAGAGAATGGCCCTCCATTGATTCTAAAGGGAAGAAATCCCAGGTTGCATGTGCTGCTGATTTTTGTCTGATGGCTTTTCCTTGAAATCATCCCATCTCCAGAACTGATGTTGCAGTGGATTCTGCCTTGGATTATTTTTCTGCTTTTCCTCACACATGAATTGCATTCCTTTCGTCTTTGGCGCAAATGGTGCATGTGAGGTTAAAAGGCAGTGTGGCAGAGTACAAACAGTCTTTGTCTGGAGGGGACCATCCTGGGATTTTAATGATGTTTTGG